AAAAAAAGAAAAGAAAAGAAAGAGGAGAGAATACTTTCTGGTATCTGAAATGTTTAGTTTTAAAGTGATATGAAATAACATATGTATATTACATTAAAATATATTTAAATTATTTTCCCCAAGAACCTAAACTCCACTAGATTAGTTTCAATACCTATATGCTTATTTCAATTTCTGAAAGAGTTGGTGTACCTGTGGCCGGTGGCGCCTCCTCTTTTTTAGGTTTGAGTTTGAGAACCTTTTCTTCTGGAACAGCTCTCTTGGGTTCCTCGGGCACTTTAAAGACAGATTTCACTTTAAAGACTTGTTCCTTCATTCAAACCACCAAAAGGTAGTCGTTTCATAGCAACTCAAACATAAAAGACCTGACATTGTCATTATTTCCAACATAAAACAATGCGTGTAATAATGACAACAACCAGCACCCGTAACCAGTGTGCGTGGTGAAGAGAACAGGGTCAGGACAACATTCTGTGTGTGCAAAGGCTCCAAGTACCTCTGGCTCTAGGAGGCTCCTCTCTTTTAGTTACAGCAACATGAACTTTTTCTTCCTGGGTAATTTGCATGTGCCTCTCAGTCACTTAAAAGATAATTGTAGGATTAGGGAGTGATATTACTTAAAGTGGAATTTAAAAATATATTAGCCAGAAAGTACTGTGATTGTTTAGCATGTAACAGTTTACAAGGTACACACAAATAAACTTCACGTCAAGTAAGTAATACTCCACCCATAGACAAGGCGAGAATACACCACTGCCACCAACACACACCAATAACCTCCACGTAAAAGGTGTGACCCAAAGACAGCAGCGAGAGGACGCAAGACGGGACACGTGTCTAGCTTTCCTGCTGGGGGGTCTCATTTACCTTTGGTGGGGGGAGGCTCTTCTAGTTTAGCCGCTTTGGGAGGAACCCTTTTTTCAGGAATTGGTTTCTTTGGTTCTTCTGGCACTTAAAAGACATCAGGCAACACAGTCAAACATACAATAGGCACATTTATCTTCTTGTTAATGTTATAAAAATTTGAAGAATGTATGAATTTAAGGTTAAAAAAGACAGGCATTCTACGAGAAAAAGTAAACCCCAATATACCTTTAGCTGGCGGCACCTTTTCCTTTTTAGGAACTGCGGCCGGAATTTTCTTTTCTAGCACAGTTTTCTTAGGTGTTTCAGGAACTTCAGAAAGATTATGTTCAAGAATATTAGTTTGACTTACAGAAGAAGTGACCTCGTTTGGCGGCAAAGAACTCACTTTTTGAAAAGATTACACATTTACACAAACATTAATGACTATATTCAGCAAAAATGTTTATACACACACAC